GCGGCCGGGGCCGGGCGACGGGTCCCGGAGGGCCTGGCAGCCCACCACGCGCAGCTGCAGGAGCAGGCAGTGCATGCCGCGCTGGCCCTGCCCGGCGGGTTCAACCCCGCGGTGTTCGGCGCGGACCCCGCGGCGGCCGTGGCGCTGGCCGCCGCCATGCAGGGCGCGGGCGGCCTGCCCAAGCTGGGCGGCGCGGGGGCGGGGCGGCCGCGGGTGCACCCTCTCCAGCGCTTCATGGAGCTGGAGGGCTCTGGCGGCGGCGCGCTGTCGGCGGCCACGGCGACGGCCCCGCCCGGCGCGCCGGCGGGCACGGCGGAGTGGGCGGGGTATGACCCCCATGGCCGCCTGGATGCCGCCCAACATCTCCACCGCCGTGTTCTGGCAGCAGCTCCTGGCGCAGCAGGCCGCGGCGGCCGCCGGCGCGCTGACCGGCGCCGGCGAGGCCGGCGGCCCGGGCGAGGTGGGCGCCGCAGGCGAAGCGGGCGGCGCGGCGGCTGGCGCGCCGCCGGCCGGAGTCGACGGTGCGGCCCCGGACGCGGAGGCGGGGTCCGGGACGCGGGCGGGGCCGAGCGCGGCGGGCGACGCCCAGGCCGCTCAGGAGGACGGCGGGGATGGCCAGGTCGGTGTGCCGCCCGCGCCCGGCGCGCTGGGCGGGCCCCTCGGCCTGGCCGGGGGCCCACTGCACTTCGAGGGCCTGGGCCTGCCCTTCGCCGCCCTGGCCGCGGGCGTGGAGGGCGCGCAGCCGCAGCTGACGGAGGAGCAGGCTGCCGTGGTGGCGGGGGCGCAGGCAGGCGGGGAGGAGATGCCGTACATGGACGCCGCGACGGCCGCGGCGGGCAACAACTCCCTGCAGTACCTCCACGCCTGGTACTACACCAACTACTGCTACAGCAACGGCCTGTACAACAACAACTGGGTCGGGAAGCCGGCAGGTGGGGCGGCGATGCGACCAGGATTACTGTGTGTGTGGGTTGAGGAGGTTGGCACAGAATCCAGGTTGGGGCAGGGACAGCAAGGATGGGGAGCGCATGTGCCCCGGTGCCAGGGCTGGACTCTGGTCCACACCCGACTCGAATCTCTCTCACACTCATGCAGGCGAGGAGGGCCTGCCGCCAGGCGGCCTGGTGGAGGGGATGCAGGTGGTCGGCGAGGAGCTGGCCCCGCAGCAGCTGCCAGATGGCGGGCCAGGGGTGGGGGCCGGGGAGGGCGAGCAGGCACCCGGCGCGATTGCCCAGCTGCCCGGCGACGCCACGCATGCCCTGGCCCAGATCCAGCAGACCGTCACGGCTCAAGCAGAGGGCCTGCCTGAGGAGCCCCAGGGTCAGCAACCCTTGCAAGAGGACGGCCTGTGAGGCCTTCATGCTGCTAGGCCACAGATCCTCCCATACACCTGCGTATCGACCTTCTCCATTGTGCAACTCTGACCGTGCCTCCTTGATGTGTAACCCTGGACACTCAAAGCAGGGAGCAATGCCTAGTTTCAGGGGGGGTCTTGTCGATCGGGAGCACGGGGGGGGAGGAAGGGAGGTGGCATGTATCACAGGCAGCTATGGTTGCTGCCACTGAGGACCTGGCACGCCAAGAGGGCTGGCGCACGGTTGCATTCATGGGCTATTTCATTTGACGATGGCCATGCGTTGACGGGCACTTCTCAAAGCTGGCGGGGTGAGGTGGCACCAGCCACACCGGAAGTCAAGCAGGGCAACATCACCGGCGACTGAACCGCCACGAGTATGTTTTCAAGCTTGTCTCATTATGAAAGTCAGCTCCAAAGAAAAACTGGATGATACCGCTGTCACCACCGCTGCCCATCCGTCAAACCTCGGGGTGGTAGGCCATGAGGTTGAGGATCGGGGCCGCCTCGTGGAGCCTGTGCTCCCTCACATGCTGGAAGCCGTGCCGCGAGTAGAAGCGGGTGGAGGCGGCGGAGGATGCCTCCAGGTACACGCCCCGCCCGGCCTTGGCAGCCCGGTCCTTGATGTGCTGGATGAGCTGGGCACCCATCCCCTGGCCCTGCACGCGGACGCCTATCATGTGGATGTGCACGACATGCCCGTGGTCCTGCGAGGTTTGGAGAGAGGGTGTTGGAGCTGGAGTGGTGGCGGGGCTTGCACACCGTGGCACATAAGGGGAGCGCCGTGCAAGCATGCTTGCAATGTTTTGAGACTCGCAACACGCTAGGACCTGCGATGGGGCAAGTGCTCCCGGTGCAGAAGAGACAAGCTGCAAGAACTAAGTGATCTGCGCTATTCATCGCAATAGAGCGGGCAATCCCCCCCAAACCTTCCAACCCACCTTGACGTAGACGTCTTTCTGGACGTCGAGGGAGGGGAACAGGGTCTCCATATCCCCAGCGCGCTCGGGAGGGACATGTACCATGGTTGCCGCCATGGCATCGGCATCGGCCTCGAACTCAGGCTGCTGGCTGTCGCTGGTCATGGCCGCGGCCGTGAAGTCGGGCGTCACATAGAAGCGGGTGGAGGGGTGGCAGGTGAGGAGCATCTCCAGCAGGCTCCCCATGAATGCCTCGGCATCGCTCTTCCCCGCCAACCAAGTGGTCACCGGGTCCTGGGACAGCGCCTGTGAGGAGGAGATTGGACCAGTGCAGCCTTGTATTGGAGGCATGCGAGCCCTGGAGTAAGCCTGAGCAGACGGCAAGCGGGCTATGTGGACCCCTTCCTACACCCACCTTGGCCAGCGTCTTCAAGGCCTGCTCGGTACCGCTCTTGTCCTCCCGGGCATCGAAGGCAATAAACGTTGCCTGCGACATACTGCAGCCTCGTGGACTAGGCTGCGGCGGCCTATGGCAGCGGCAGAGCGAAAATTCCAGGCCAGGAAATGAAGCGTGGAGACAGGATTTACTTGTTGAAGTCCTTCCCAATAATTCCCGAAAGGCGCCTTGCAGATCAATGCATTGATGGGACCCCTCTCCTCATCGCGCGCCGACGGCAGAGAGTCGGTCGTGCTATTGATTACCACATCTCACCTCGCACATAACGATGGCAGCCTGCAATCGGGCAGGTAACCCTTCAGAGTTCATGGCATACACCTACATCGAGCAATAAGAAGCCTTGCGATCCACCCGCCTGTCCCATGCCCTCGAACTGAACCTGGGACTACTTTACGACACACCACGGCAGCGAGTGTGAAGCGGGCGTTTTTCGGAACGGCAAACCCAACATCGCCAGTCCCCCCCCCCCTCCCTGATTTAGAAACGATGGCGACTGCAACCCGAGTGAAGGTCACCGAGGATGAGTCGATGCTGACCTCGTTGGTGCGCAGGATCACTTCGTCCTCCGAGCGGGACGGCTGGCAGGAGCCAGTCCTGCCAGGACAACTGACCCTCACAATCGTCGTAGCAGGTATCATATCAGGCGAGATGTGGGTTGGTGGCCAATGTGATCTCATGCGAGAGCACAGGTCGAAGTCCAGCTCACTCCGCCCTGGAACCGGCAGGTGCAAGCGGGGACCTTGCCAAAAAGAAGACATACCCCGCGCTCTGCTTCCTGTATCAGCATGGGTGAGCGTGCTTGGAATATCGTGCTCGTCCATTGGACTGCGACAGTGGGTCCTGGCGGTCTTTGATGCCTGGAGCTTGACTCTATGGCTGGTGATCACCTGCTGTGGTTCTAGCGACCACCTCTCCTTGCATACACAATCGATGGTCCCCTTCTCACAACCTCCCCGGCCACCACCATCAACTTTCACACAGCTTCCTGTGCTCCAACGTACGCATTGTGGGGTATGCCCGCACCGACCTCAGCGATCAAGCCCTGCGAGACAAGTTGCGCCCCTTCCTGAAAAACACACCGGAGGACAAGCGAGAGGCCTTCCTGGCGACCTGCTCCTACGTCTCTGGACCCTACGACACCCCGCACGGCTGGCAGCGCCTGGCAGCAGTGCTGGACAAGCGCGAGAGCGCCACGCCCAAGAACCCTGCCGGCCGCCTCTTCTACCTGGCACTTCCCCCCAGCGTGTACCCCCAGGTGTGCCGGGGCCTGAAGGAACACTGCTCCTCCATCGCCACGAGCTCGGAGCCGGGCAGGAGCTGGGTGCGCGTTGTGGTGGAGAAGCCCTTTGGAAAGGACTTACAGTCGTCTGAGGACCTGGCGGAGCACCTGGGGGAGCTGTACCCAGAGGAGCAGCTGTACCGCATAGACCACTACCTGGGCAAGGTGAGACCCTGCCCTAAGGCGGTTTGCTCTCTCGTGCTACTCAAGGGGCTTGGACCTGATGGAGAATGCCGGCCGTATGGTCTCTTCCTGGAGCCCCTGATCGGCCCCTCTCCCGCTTCCATGGTGCATTGCACATGCAGGAGATGACCCAGAACATGTTTGTCATGCGATTTGCAAACACATTCCTGTCGCCGCTGTGGTCCAGGACGCATGTGGCAAACGTGCAGATCACTTTCAAGGTATCCCTTCTGTTAGTGTGTGTATGGCACGGGATGGGCATTCGAATGGCGGCCTGGCAGAAGCGATTGTCTGGCAGCTTAAAATCCGTGTGTGAGCAAACAGGCTCTGCATCGTGCATTTTTTGTTTACCAAGAAGGATCTTACTGAAGCAAAGCATGGCTGAGGGTTTGTTCCATCCTGCCTCCCATATGCTTGTTGGCATGCAGGAGGACTTTGGGACGCAGGGGCGAGGGGGCTACTTTGACGAGTTTGGCATCATCCGGGATGTCATCCAGAACCACTTGATCCAGGTAGGGCGGCGTGCCTGCATGCCTAGCACAGCCTGCTGACGGGAGGAACCACCCCCGAATGGGAGATAGTGTGTTGTTAACAGTGACACGGCGCACCTGGCTGGTTTTTAAGCTCCATGTGTGGTTGGTAGAGCACCACTGAGAACACTCTCACCCACGTCAGCTGCTGGCGTTTGTGGGCATGGAGAAGCCCGTCAGTCTACACCCGGACGACATTCGCGACCAGAAGGTGAGTCAGTGGCCTGGTGAGGGCTCGGGCATGGCACAGGCTGAAGATTGGGTGCAGGTGCTTCAACCTCGACGCACCAGCCCTTTGGCTCCAGCCTTCTCATTGCCATGCAGAGAGATGCTCCGCCAGCCACGCCACCCTCCCCCTCTCCCATTGGCCCCAGGTGCAAGTCCTGCGGTGCATCAAGCCCCCCTCCCTGGACAATGTGGTACTGGGGCAGTACACTGCCGCCGATGGCGAGGACGGGTACCTAGACGACCCCACCGTGCCCCAGGGCTCCAGGACCCCCACCTTTGCCTCCATTGTGCTGTACATCGACAACGACAGGTGGGCGGGCGTGCCCTTCATCATCAAGGCTGGCAAGGCCCTGGACGAGCGCAAGGCGGAGATTCGCATCCAACTGCACGAGACCCCCCACTTCATTTTTGCGGGCGAGTCCAGCTCCTCCCGAAACGAACTGGTGGTCCGGCTGCAGCCTGACGAGGCCATCTACATGAAGTTCATCGTGAAGAAGCCAGGTCTGCGGCGTGGGAGAGCTCAGCCTGGGGGGGTGGGGTGGCACGAGACGCTTTGTGTCGAGGGGAAACAAGAGCGCCGAGGATTCATGGCACCAAGGGTGTCGACTGGCAAATTGCTTGGCACTGTGGAGGGGTAGTGGTGAGAGCAGCAGGTCTCGACCCTATGCACTGAGACGCAACACCCCCGCCCCATCCGCCAACCTCCCTCCCTCCTCCACACACACAGGACTGGACACGGAGCCCGTGATCTCCGAGCTGGACCTTGATTACCACAGCCGATATCCAGATGTCATCATCCCCGATGCCTACCCCAAGCTCATTCTGGACGCCATCCGCGGCGACCAGCAGCACTTTGTGCGCCGCGACGAGCTGCGCGCTGCCTGGGCCATTTTCACGCCCCTGCTACACGCCGTGGACGCGGGGGAGGTGCCCATCCACCCATACCCATACTCCTCCCGCGGACCCGAGGAGGCGGATGCGCTGCGCTCGCGGGTGGGCTGGGTCAAGAACAGCAAGTATGACTGGAAGGCCAAGGTCGATGTGCCGGCGTGAGTGATGAGGAGGAGAGAGGGGGGGAAACCTGGATGCTGCTGTAGCAAGCTGGACCTCCTTGGCGTATGAGAATGTAGGCGGGTGGTGGCCCTGCCCTGTCGAAGCTGGCCCACTATTTCATGGGTCACCTCAGAGGCATTGCTGAAGATTGACAGCCTGATCATCTTACTGCATGTGCAGACGGAGTGGATCCAGACTTTGAGCTCGCAAGTACAGGAGATAAACCATCGCTGTTCAACACAAGGAGATTACATGATCTTTGAATGTGAGCAATGCGCATGTACTGTTCCTCACCGCCGCCTTCCGTTAGAGTTGTTGGGTCATCCTGGGAGGGCATGTTTCTCGTTCCAGTCTGGCTGGATGCACCTTCTATCCGTGGTGATCATGTTACTTGCTCGAGCGGCGCTAAGCGCATATCCTACTCTGACGGAAGAGCGGGGTACTTGGGTAGCCAGAGTAAGATCTTGATGGAACGCCGGCACTTCGAACATTCCCTGCAAGTTCCCGACAGAGCGAGCGGCTACTTGAAACCCGAAATCTCGATGTGTTTCCGGGTTTCACACGGAGATCGATACCAGAGCATCGCATATTATTTGTACTGGGGATGAGAAAACATTCTTCCTCCTCATCCCCCACTGCTGACGCTCTGTGATCGGCCATGCGATTCAAGGCCGCCCTCATCGATCTGAGCGGCACCCTCCACATCGATGGGCAAGCGATCCCAGGGGCTGTGGCAGCTCTTGAGCGCCTGCGCGCCGCGCAGCTGCCGTGCAGATTTGTCACCAACACGACCAAGGACACCGTGGACAGTCTGGTGATGACACTGCAAACCCTTGGCTTTGGCATCTCCAAGGACGAGGTTGTGGGGATGGACCCATTAGCATCTGGAGCGGGGTATCTGCCATGCGCTCAGGAGTATCAGCAGCATTTCACATGCAACCCCTGCTTGACTGGCATCTCCCTGTCCATGAGGGTCCCTGGTCGCCTCCACAGGTGTTCTCGTCCCTGTCTGCAACCCGCCAGCTCCTGAAACAGCGTGACCTGCGCCCCTTGCTGCTCCTGGACCGACGTGCCCTGCCCGAGTTTGACGACGTCCCCCAGCATGATCCTAACGCTGTGGTGGTGGGTCTGGCCCGAGAGGCCTTCAACTACGACAGCCTGAATCGGTGCGTGGCAGAATGTGGATGTTATTCTCTGGGTCACGAGGAGTTTGGAGCCTCTCCTGGGAGGGGTGATCATTTAATAGGACTTGGGCATGATCTGTGGCGGCTTCTTTGCACGCCATGTTGGGCACCATTTTAGGATCCCGTTTTGAACTGCGTCAACGTGTTCTTCCATGCACCCCATGGACAAGTCACGCCTCCATGCTTCTCACCCTGCAAAGCGCCTTCCGGCTCCTGCATGCCCAGCCAGCAGCCCCCCTCATTGCCATCCACCGTGGACGAGTGTTTGCCGAGGCCAGTGGTCTCTCTCTGGGGCCGGGCCCGTTTGTCACTGCTCTGGAGGTGGCCGCAGGCAGGACCGCCCAGGTGGTGGGGAAGCCGGCGCCCACCTTCTTCGCGGCAGCGCTGGACCACCTCGGCGTGGCCTCGGAGCACGCTGTCATGATCGGTGGGTGCGCTGTTCCCTTCACAGGCCTTTCATTCCACTGGTCCCGAGTGCGGGGTGGCAGATCACGTGCAGGCACTGGCCCGCCTGCCTGCCTGCCCAGCCTAACAACTCTGGAAAATGCTCGCATCAAGCGATGCACTGCGAGGGCAGACCTCATGCCAGGTCAGCAGCGCAGGGCAATCCTCCATCCAGCGCTGCTGTCAAGCCCCCCACCCTGCCCTGCTCCGCAGGGGATGACGTGCGGGATGACGTGCAGGGCGCTCAGGCAGCGGGCCTAGCGGGGGTCCTGGTGCAGACAGGCAAGTACCAGCTGGGGGACGAGGGATTCGGTGCGCCGGCGGCCTCCGCCCCAGACGCCACGGTGCCAGACTTTGCTGCCGCAGTGGACTGGCTGCTCAGCCAGTGACCGCCATGTGCAACGAGCGGCACAGCCAGCAAGTCACATGGACCACTGGGCACCATGATGGCGCATGCCTCGCGCCACCATGTCTGCGCCAAGGAAGGAAAATTGGGCCCGCATCCACGCCCTCGGCGCCATCATCGGCGCTGCGACTGCCAGGCGGCAGGCGGCGGGGGCGCAGCTCCCGGTGGCGGGCCGCGCATGGGAGCTGCTGGCGGGGGAGGAGGCACGCCGCCCACACTCAGCGGAGCTCGCGCCGGGTGCTGGCCGCGCCCGGGCTGCTGACCCGGCAGCGCGCCTTGCTGGACGAAGGCCGCGGCGGGGTACGGAATCGGCGCGCCCGAGGCGGCATGCACCAGCGGCCTGAGGGGCGGTTGCCCCGGGTGCTGCCCGCCCAGCGGCACCTGCTGCTGGAGGGGGTAGGCCTGCCACGTGCCCGCTGAGGCGGGGCCAGCCCCGCCGGGTCCCCGGCCCTGGGGTCCGGCACGCTGCCCGGGGTGCAGGGCCTGGCCGGGGCCGGAGAGCCTGGCCTGCTTGCCGGACGGGGGCCCGGGGTGGGGGGGGTGCCGACCCCTCCCTGCGCCCCCTCCCTCCTGCCTGGAGCGTTTCATGCTCATCTCGTGGCTGGACTGGTATTTGGGGATCTTGTGCGGCTCCATCGGCAGCGGATGCGTGTAGAACCAGGGGTGCTGTGCGAAGGTTGGGGAGATGGAGGAGGCAGGGTGAATCGCACAGACAGTGGAGAAATCATCATGCCTCAGCTCCAGCAGCGGTGTGTGGCTGTTCGCAGGGGCATGCAGGCCCTACACCCCCGTACCGAGGCAGCCTCCTTGGCAGAGATGCGTTTCTTAGGATCCAGCAAGAGCATTTGCTCCATGAGATCCTTGGCCTGAGTTGCGAAAGGTGTGGGGCTGCCACTGAGCTGCACATCCAAAGGATACAGAAAGGAGTCTGCACCACATCATCGTACCAATCCCACTCTGACAGCCAGGCATGCTCGCCACGCACTTGAGCATCCATAATGCTGCTGTTCTGAAGATGGTGGCGCAGCCGGCTGTTATTGGGGTACTTGGCGTTGTTGAAGTCGATGTGCTGGTAGCTGCGGACATGGAGGTGACGAGCAGGAAGGGAGGGGGGATCAAGGACCTCGAGCCAGGTGGGAGCAGGCAATGAGGCCGGAGGTTTGGCAATTATCCTGGAGAGACACACAGTCGGTCATTTTCGAGCTGCATGCCTTTCTCACAGCCACACAGCACACTATTCCCTTGTCCACGCCTCACTTGGAGAAGGCGGTGCAGCCCGGCATTGTTTTCTCATTGGCCTTCCCAACAATGCTGAAGATCTTGTCACACATCCCAAGCTCATCATTGGCTAGCAGGTGTAGGAGGGGGAATGGGGGGCTCGACAACAATGTGCAACCCAGATCGTCGACTGGCAGACTGGTCTCCATTCCTGCATGCCCCGCATAGCATTCATGCGTCTCGGCATGAGCACATCTCCAAACCTTGGCCTCATATTCGGCTCCAGATAACAGCTCGCCCCACCTCACCAGAGAACAGGGGCTTGCTCGTGAGCATCTCAAACATGATACAGCCTGCTGACCACATATCGATCTCTGGGCCATAGGACTGCGCGCCCAGGAGCAATTCAGGCGGCCTGCGAGGGAAGGATGCTTGGACCTCGCATGAGCCAAGCTGAGTTGACGCGGCGCAAGCCTCCCCTTTGACGATGCCCTAGGCTTGTAGCAGCGGGAGAGCTCAAGGCGGCATGCATGCCCACTTCCCCCTTCCACCATGCCTACCACTCACCGGTACCACAATGTGATGACACGATTAGTCATCCTCGCGCCATTTCCCTGCCCGTCCTCCTCGCCTTGGGGGCGGTACCTGGCCAGCCCAAAGTCCCCGATCCTCAGTATCCCTCCATCGTTGATGAGGAGGTTGCTGTTCTTCAAGTCCCGATGTAGCACCTGGGAGAGTTCCGTATGGATAGAGCGGGGGGGGGGGCGTTGCTGGAACGCCTTGGGCGCAGCTTACCCTCCTTACCACCTCGACCCTCTCACAAGGTCCATCCAAATAGCAACAACCACATGCCATGGAGAGAGCGGCCGGGGCTTGCGCCTCTGTGGGAATAGGTGAACATTGAAAGGCTAAACGTTGCTATGACACTGCCCCCACCTTCAATTACCTTGTTTGTTTCCAGGAGTGCAAGACCCAGAAGCAGCTGCTGCATGTAGCACTTGATCTGAGGCACAGAGAATGGAGGACCCTCCCGCTGCGACCGGGCCAGCAGACCCGTCATGTCATGGTCCATGTAGTCAAAGATCATGTAGATGGAACCCCTGAAGTTGTTGCACTTGTGGCCTGCGAGGGAGATGCACGGAGGGAGACTGGAACATTGGTGGCTTGCAACAATTGTCACCATACAGGGTGACACTTCCCTTGACACAGAGTGTGCGGCAAGGACTGAGGTTGGCCTTAACAATTCGTCGATTGAGGGAAAGGTAGTGCGCACAGGCCCCTCTCACTTCCTGATCGGACGATTTCCCGCAAAGTGATGACATGGTTTCGGAGGATCTTGCCGTTGATCTCTGCCTTTGACTGGGCAAGCGCAGACAGGATCTTGATTTCTGTGGGATGAGTAAGGGGCATTGTGAGCTGCAGCGGAAGGGCACGGAGTTGTGTCTCATAACAGCACTTAGTCACATGGCCGACTGCGAAGAACTCCAGCACACAGCCGCCAGCTCTCCACACCTCGTATGGCAGTGATCGGAAACCCCTCTTTTTCATTGTCCATTTTTATCTTCTTGGCAGCAACAATGTCTCCAGTAGCCCGGTCGACGGCCCGATACACCTGTGCAAAGTGAGACATCAGGCTTTCCTGGGACTCTAATTCTCCACATCGAGCGGGAATCCATGGACCGCGACACGATAGCAAGCCACACCCTGGCGTGCAGCCACCCACATACCTCTCCATAGGTTCCTTGCCCCAGTACAAACTCCCTTTGGTAGCCAGCCTCTATACTGCGGCAGCCACCGAAGATAGAGTCGCCGCGATTCCCTTCCTCAGGCAGCTCCACCTTCCACTCGGCTGGTATGGAGGGTGCTTTACCCTTCCGAGACTGGGACCCATTCTGTGATACCATCCCGGTTCAGGGAAGAGCGTTGAGATGAGGACCAGTCCCACACGGGAGTCCGCAATCACCCACACGGGGGGAGTCGAGGAAGTTCACAGCGCGATGATGTCTTGCCGAAGGTCTACTAGTCATCTAATGCAGTCGAGAAAGTCCTTCGAAGCACGGATATGAATCTTGCGTGGGACTTCACACATACTTTGCTCAACGCCCTGTCCTCGGTTTTCGCGCGCCGTGGGTGGAGGATCACGGCCATGTCGAAGTAGACGACGAGGGAGCGTCAACGAGAGTCAAGCCGATTCGCCTTCGTTCGTCGGATGCGTGATTGGTACACAACCAGTAGATCCATCGGCGCCCAGCACGCATCGGCGGATTAACAGTGAATTCTTAGCGTTCGTGCAGGCAGGATGACCTGCCTCCGGCGCTTCTCGGCGCATGACCTCTTTGCTTTCAACAATGTCAATCTGGATTACTTCACTGAAACGGTGCGCATATGCCAGTCTGCGATGGTATGGCGATTGCATTCAGGTGTTTGCATGAGCTCTCTATGATTTCCACCTTGTTGCTCAGTGACTCTCCCCTGCGACAGTCCATCCCGCATCCTACTATCATGTAGTATCACTTGCCATTCTACCTGCAATACCTGGCTCGCTGGCCGGAATACTGCTTGTGTGGGACCGCACCCGGCGAAGTGGTCCAGGGCTACAGTAAGTTTTTGGTCGACAACATAGGACATCGCTTGAGCTGATGTCCTGCCATCTTCGATCTCCCGCTTCCCCCTCCTTAGATGCTTTCAGCCCTACACACGCTTCCTTCAATGCACCGTAGTCCTTGGTAAGGTGGAGGGAGACGGCCCTCACTGGCATGGACATGTGACAGCCGTTACGGTCGCACCCGTGTTTCGTCGGCAGAAGCTCGCCGAGCAGCTTATGCAGATTTTGGAAGACACGACGATCAAGATGTGAGTGATGGCCATGGTGGAGCAGATTGAATTGCTTGTACACCAGCAGCAGCAATTGTATCTTCAATCTTGGCTCACTGTTCTTGTTGCACCGCCTGCTGGTGCTGCAGGCACAACGCTTTCTTCGTTGACCTCTTTGTGCGAGCAAGCAATGCAGCGGCAATCCTCATGTATGAGCGATTTGGCTACAGCGTGTACAGGAGAGTGCTGGGGTACTACAGTGGGCCTTCCCCAGAGGATGCCCTGGGTGAGTTCTGCGGGGACGAAGTGTCGAGGTGGGGGGTGCACGAACGGATTACAGTGTCAAGTGGATGCGATGAGTATCATATCCAAGCGCCCACAATATCTCTTGCGGTGACCATTGCAGACATGCGCAAGGCGATGCCACGGGATGTGAACAAGCTCTCCATTGTGCCCCTCAAAAGAGCCATCCACCCACATGAGCTGGAGTTTGACTAGGAGGGGCTAGAGGGTCGAGGCCCCCCCTTGACAACCGAACCCTGCATTACTTGTTTCACTTTATGAAAAGTGCCCTTGAAACAGCAACCTCCGATGACGGCGGTGGCGTGGGCCTCGTTGCTTGGGAGATCCGGACGGCACCTCGGGCAATCAAAACCCCATGATCTGGAGCGAGCTTCTCAAAATCAAGCTCCAAAGAACCATCTCAAGGGTTTATTCTCAGACATACAACATTATGTAGGGATTCGCGAGCTCCCCGGGAATAATCTGTTGGCATGGTAACATTCCGGGAGACGAGGATGCCTCACTCTGGCCGGCATCTCCTTACAAGACTCTGGTCAACGATAACCATACTCCTCATTCTATGCTTTACTACAAGCCAGGCCAGGACCCTGAGCTCGTCAGCCCCTGCGTCGAGCTCTGTCGGGTACGCCGTATGCATGGAGGTCCGGTCATCCGCGTCGTGACATGTGCGCTGCGGCTTGAAGCTCACTACCAGACTTTTCACGCTTGCTCGTAGATCCAGTCCAAGTCGAGAGGTTATTGTATCCTTCAAGAGCTCTGTCAGCATTGAGTTGTTGATTGACATCTGCAACGAGCTGAAGTCCCTTTCTGCGGCAAAGTGCCAGCAGGTTTTCACCTCTGTTATCAGAGGCTTTGCGGGTGAGGTTATAGGGTCATGGGGGCTGCCCAGAACCCCCATCTCAAAGCCGTGGGTGACCGTTCGGGAACGACTCCTTCACGGCCTCAGCTTGACTCTCATTTCTCCTGCAGGCATGCTGGACCAGGAGGATCAGGAAAGCCTGCGCTCTTCGCATGGCAGTGACATCCAGTCCATGGAGGACAACACCCAGCTTCACACGGCAGAGCTCGTGAGCAAGTCCAGTGAAATGACCCTACTGTCCTACTCCCCACCACGGCTGTCCACACGTGGCTCCCTGTGGACTCAGGACGGTCCCGCCTGGCCCCTGCAGCGCATCAATCGCCGCAGGTGGTCGCCAGGGATGAGCCCACCCGCCGACTATGCATTCTCGGCCCTGGGCTCTGGAGTGAATGCATACATCGTCGACACCGGCATCAGACTGTCTCACAGGGAGTTTGCGTCCTTCCCAGACGGAACTGGCGCGTCCCGTGCCCTGCCCGCCATGTCTGGTGCGTCGGTGGCGGCCCTGAGCCGGCTGGCTTGGGTGGCGACAGGCCTGCTGTCTGGGCTTTGCCTGGTCGTGGGGTGATTGCGGGGGAGGCGCAGCCTTCCTGCGTGAACTGGCTGGACTCTCACGGACCTACACAAGCCCCATGCAACCACGCTGCCGCAGTGTTTGGTGACGACGACGCGAATGACTGCAACGGCCATGGCACGCACAACGCAGCGCTCCTGGGTGGGCTGACCTTTGGGGTCGCCAAAAACACCACCCTGTGGTCGGTGCGTGCCGTCGACTGCGATGGCACCACCAGCGTGGTCGCCCTCCTGCAGGCCAGTGGAGTTGCCTGGGGATGGCGACGGGCCTTTGTTGTACGGCTGTGTCTGTTGTTCGTGAGGCGGTGCTTTCCAGGGCAACTGGAGACCTATTCTCAACCCCCTGCAGTTCATTCCTCCATCTTTGACACCTGCTCGCCCGCATAATGCCTACAGGGTCTGGATTGGGTGGCACGGAATGCGCAGCGTCCGGCAGTGGTCAACCTCTCTCTGCGCTCCACCACCGGCTCCTCCGCCCTCGCCGACGCCGCTACCCGGCTGGTGACCGAATTTCAGCTGCCTGTTGTCGTGGCGGCCGGCAACGAGGGCTCTCAGGCATGTGGAAGCTCACCTGGGAACGCGACCGGCGTCCTGACAGTTGGGGCCTCCACCATGCAGAATGCTGCCTGGAACCTCACTAACTGGTAGGTGACCACTCGAGTGGAGGGTGAGGAAGGGGTGGCGATGGGGCCAGTGGAGTTGTAGTTGGACACGATCCCTACATTGCTGGCTAGGAAGCAGCAGGGATTGATCCCTGAACAAACACCAGCTGCCTTTTGTGAACAGAGTCTGGCCTCCAAGTGCATTCACTGAGGACGTCATTGGTATACCACCATGATGATGTCACATAGCCGTCGAGGTATGCACTCCCTTCCTCACCTACCCCTTCAACAGGGGCCCATGCGTGAGGTTGTATGCACCGGGCGCAAACATAGTCAGCGCTGACTCTGCGTCAGATACTGCGGTGTCCCTCAGATCCGGGACCTCAATGTCATGCCCGATGGTGGCAGGTGTCGCCGCCCAGTTCCTGGAGTTCCAGCCTGTACGTTGTTGCACCAGAGGGGCGGGAAGTTGAGTTTAAGATCGAGAAGGGGACTGTTCGTCACGCTTGGTACTGCAAAAGGTGTGAAAACATGCCGAGCCCTGTTTCCTCGCCTCCTTAGCTCAAAAGGATACATACTTTGCAGGATGCGAGGGCTGCTGAAGTCGCACTGGCCCTCAAGGAACACGCCACTACCGGTGCCATGTCACTTGCCACCATTGCTAAAGGTGAGGGTGTTGGGGCTCATTGGGGATGCTCGTCACTCCAGGGAGTCAGATGCTTTCCACATTAAGGCCCACGCATGTAGCATTTCATCCGTATCACTTCTGTCACCTGGATTGATGCGATGCAGTTCAAGACAAGGGGGCCGAAGGTTTGCTCCTTTTCAACGGTGGGGACCTCGCCTTCTAACCGCTGAGCATGTTCCATCTTCTATAGCGTGATCCGTTTTGGACTCTTTGCCTGTTACACATGCACTGATCTTGCCATCTCTCTACTGCAATTCTTTCCTTGACATGGACCAATTGGTAATTACAAGAACTGGTTTCACCCTACTCCCACATGCTTGGATTCAGGGCAATCCCTGTAAGGACGGCTGGCAGCGGGCACAGCAGCATGGGGTTATCGAGAGCCCGCCTACAGCTGCATTGCCAGTGCATTCGTCATCACCACCAGTGAGCGAATCTCGCAGTTGTCAAAACTGCACGTATTGCAGGGAAGTGAGAGAAGCATATCTAGCTTGATAGATTGTCAGAATGTTGTGGCAGCCTTCCTAGGATTCTCTCAAATTGCAACCTCGTCCTGCAACTGACCTGGCATGGATCCCCTGCTCAACCTCATAATCTAGTCCTCTTGAGCCGAAATGACGCAATGCTTCTCGCAGGATGCCCCCATGTGCCACGACAGCAATCCGCCTTTCTTTCCTCCCAACCAGATACTGCAGGCATTGAGTGTTGGCGCGATCATATGAGTCGTGAAGAGGGATCTGACGGCCAAGTCCACACCTGGGATGTCTCAAGCGCAGTATATAGTCTCAGTCTATGCAACCAAGTGACTCACCCTTATGAGCTCTCTCCCGCGCTGCTGCAGTGAGGCTTCGGTTTCACGCACCTCTGAGTCCCACATAGTGTCCTCGCCACTTGCAACCTTGAGTGCATGGATGTGTATGGTGGGGTTGGGGTGTCGTCTCTGGATGCTACAGGGTCGTGATGCCAAGAGCCATGCTCTGGTATCGCAGGAGTACAGATTCTGTCGCAGGGATCTATCCACACCTGAGAAAAGTCAACCCCAGGGAATCTGGTGGCTATGATCTCCACAGGGCGACGGCGGTCACAGGGATGGAGCCCCAGATGCTCCCTGCAGAGCTATGGGCAAAAACCCAAAGCATGTGGAGCCAACAGAGATGCACATGACGATTCATACAGTGGGCGTCAGATCAAGCACATTACACGCTCTCCGTGTCCACCCAATGCCTCACTTCAGTCGCTACAACTGGTGGCACGCCATCGAGGGAGATCCCGTGCGCTTCCGATGCCGTCTGGACCTCAGGCGGGGGAGGGCGGGTATAAGTTATCGTCGTCAAACATCAGCGGGTGCCCAATCTGTGCCTCAAAGAGCAATGTCACTCACAAGAGCAACCTTGCACAACACCCACCCCACCTGTGATTCAGCTTGTGGCAACATGAGGGGCTTGGTGGTTGAATCTGCGGTCCAGCGAGCTATGCCATATACGCCTGCAGCTGTCTCCAAGGCGCGAGTAAGGGGCGAGACGATCACGACATCGGGGGCTTGGTAAGCAGCCGTGGATCGCAGCTCCTCACCAAGCTGCCGTGCCTGCATTACTTTGAAGAGTGCTTCACAATGCGTATTCAGCAAGTTGGGGTATCTGTTCACAAGTAAAGCCACATCAGCCTTCAAATCGCGGTTTAAGTCCAGCTTACCTGCTCCCAGCCTTTCGATGTTAAGTGAGCATCCTCAAAGTTCCAGCTACGGTACGCGGAAGGATCCGCGTTACCAGCAACATTATGGAAGCCTTCGCCATGTCTGATGAAGTCGACGACCTGTTGGGGTGCATACAAATCTCTGAGATCAAGGTGCGGCCTCGCACGCACGCCAAGGAAACCATCGCGCTTGCCTTGATGTCACTGGGGCTTGCAATGTATATCTCCTCACAAGGATCATGCGGCCCATCAACCAACGTGTGCCCCATTGTGCGGCAGTGCAGAGGCGTAGAGGGTTAGGCTCATATGCAAATTGTGTCGCGCCCTGGATCCCGGTGCCGCAAGAAAATTTCTACCGGAATACGCAGCTCTCCCATCGGGAGGCAAGGGACCGGCACACTCGGTGACACTGTTGCCAGCCTTTGTTGCTCGACGTGACGAATTGGCTGAGAAGAGGCACGAGAAAACCTCAGACTGCCCCATTGGCAGGCTGCGCCCGAGGAGCAGCATGCCCGTGGGGGGGAAATTGGTGTTGAAGGGTGGCCTTCACGTTGGGGTAGAGAAGAAGAAGAAGAAGAAGAGTAAGAAGAGTACCAAGGAGCTTACTGAGGAGGAACTGGCCACAAAGTCAGAGCGTGGTAAGGGCTGAGAAGTGCCTGTGATCTTCGTGTGGCAAAAGTGCAGGCTCAATAATCGCATTTGAAGTCTCCTCCACCCCCCCCTATTCCCCCAACATGACATGCAGAGAAAGCCCAGGGGATCTCCGTGCAGAATAATAACACGTATGAGCAAGAGTTTGCGCTGGAGATGCAAAAGGCAAAGGCTGGCAAAGTCAAGAATACACCGTGGGGCAGTTCATACAGAGCCGCGCCGGAGATCTTGCACGGTACGTCCGCGCTATGTCATGTCGACTATGGTACTCAGGAGGTCACAAGATGCAATGCATAGCATGTGAGGCCATCGTCTCCCGATGCTGCAGGGTATGACCGAAAAATAAGTGGTCACACGGCTGAGGAGCGACTCGACATGCGTGTCGCCATCAAGACAGACAAGGTGGGTCCGTGTTCGTGAGTTGGCCTCCAAAGGCGTGGCTTGTGCTGCATGGCAGGCTGGCGGTATGCCAGCTGGGGAATTGCGCATCCTGCGCGCTGTGCAATAAGTTGCATGCTGCCCAACAAACCCATGGCCTACAACTATCTCGCAGTTCTGCAAATGAAGGCCCAAGGGTGCAGCATTTACGCAGGAGATATGGCGCAAAGCTGGCGGGAGTATGCATTTTCTCCCAAGCCATGTTAGGGTGGCCCTGCCTCGAGATTATGCAGTCCATGGAGATCCCATGCCACGCTGGACCGTTGAAGCAGCTGGCCCTTGCACATGACCGACATTCCATACTTGGGCTTCTCTGCAAAGCTCTGCGGTCCTGTTTGTGCGAGCACGAGTCCAGTAACCTTGCCATAAAACGCCACCCTGTGGGAGATTCCAATTCGACCCGGGGCGTCCCGAGGTTATCCTACGTTTTACAAACGTTCCAAACTGAAGCTTCGCGATTACTAGCTTTTGGTCCGTCAAATCTTCTGTATATCATCAAGACATACTGTTGAACCCTATTTGCGTCGTAATAGGATGGTTAGGGGGGGTGTATCGATCAAAGTGCACCCTGCCCCTCGGGGCGAGCATAACGCGAAAGAAAATGTTTGGATCCCAAGGGCAATGGCTGTACGGCGTTCACTGGCTCGAGCCTCCGAATTGGTGTGGAACGGGGCGGTAAGATTCATTCACAGGCATCAACATGGCTGTACAATCATTACTCATTTGGTCACAGTTCGATTTGGCTGTGTGCAGGTGGCAAGACTTTGCCCCCCCCGCTTTCCCCCTCGTCCCAACCACTACTACACACACAAATGTATTCCAAGCAGGAAGTACCTTGTCTCTGTACGATTTATGACGCCGTCCAACCCATCGATTTGGTTCGTATCCCTAGATACGTGTGCTGGGTGATTTTGATGATACAGTTCGAACTGGCGGCTGGGGGGGAGCCTTCTTCAAGAGACATTTTTGACACGCCGAATCTCCTCACCACACCCCTGCCGGGCTCGCGCCGGTTGCAAACAGCTACTTCCGAAGATCAGGCTGGCGCAGTTGGTTGCCTCTGATGGCGAACCGGGGGGGTGGGGGGGGTGGGAGGAAAGGAAGGGGAAGCAGGGGGGCCACCAAATGCAGTGGGACGAAGTGCACCAGCAAAAAAGCACTTGGTCAACATCAAGATGTTGGCCGCTCCGTTGACGTCGCGGTTGACGACATGGACCTTGCAGGCCTTGTTCGTGCACCGCTTGGTGTCCCACACGTCCATCAGCTTCTCCTCACCGTTGCGGACCCGCACGTACTGGTGGGTGTGCAGGGTGGCGTGACAGGCGCACCCCAGCTTTGATGACCTGTGCTCGTCTACCACCACCACCCTGCACACCCGCCGCAGGCGCCGCAAGAAGCGGATCCAAGGCCCAGGCGGAGTCCCCCGCATGATGCCCCCTCTGTCCTGGGCCGACCAGTTGCCCACGCCCACGACAG